GCACCAACCATTGGTGTCTCAAGGACCTCCTGAGTCAGACGTGGTTTCCATATAGTACATAAACCTCAGTGAATTTGTTTCCATGAACTTGTCCAGCTTCCTCCTGAACGTCTGCAACCGCTCAGCACACACAGCATGCCATAATACCCAACCTCAGAGCTAACTCAGTGCTGTATGAGGAACTATTCTCACCTGTCTGGCTCTAACCTGCTCCTTGCCAACTTTATTCCCCTCAACTTTCGCACTGGAACTGATCATTTATTGTCTCTTACTGTCTACCTTCTCCCACATCACATGTATGTTCATCATATTCTCACTTAGTTTTCTCTTTTCCTGGTTGAAGCATCCTTGTTTACTCATTCCCTCCACGTATACTGTTTCCTGTCTATAATGAATTTCGTCGCCCTTCTCTGAAGCTTCCCATGTTTTCTTATCTATAGGAAGGCAAGTAAGAATTGCACAGTTATTCAAAATACAAAAGCCCTGGATTTATACAGTGACATAGTGATACCTCCAGTCCTAATAATTCCCAATATTTAATTTGTTTTTTTTAACCACTAATAAACATTAAGTTGATGTTTTCATGGAAAGGCATCTAACAAAGCCCTAAGACCTCTACCACATCCTGATGTCACCAACTTTTTTCTTCAGCAGTTTTCTTAAAAACAAAACAAACCCAAACAAAAACCCTGAGATCCAACCCACTAAGTATTTAGCAACAACCATCCCTTTTTAAAGGGGAAAGGCAGAGAGTGTTCTCTAGCAGTCTGATTTGGTTCTTTAACTGCCACAATACATATAAATCACTATAAGGAAAGTACACATTCACTACAGAAGCTTGTTTGCTGCACTACTGTTGATCTTGTTAGACCTCATGAAAGAGCAGACTCAAAAGTCCAGCAGAGGATTCTAAAGTAGAGTCTTGAGGCCTTGAATTCCCCCTACAAAGAAGAATAAATACTAGATTTCCTAGAAAAAAAAAATGCCCTGCAAGAGAGTAAATTGTGTGCTCATGCATTATTGCTTTCTTACTTCTAATTATTTTGAAACCTGATACTATCCAGAAAAATACAGAAAAGGCCACAGTTTCCTGCTATCACTATAATAAATGATACATCCATTTATTAAATTATGGTCTGGCCAGGTCTGATAAAGTATTTATTTTTCTGACAACAGATGAAATAGGCACAGTGATCTGCAAGGCAAACATCACAACATCTTCAGAAGTAGGAATTATTTTAGTTGGAGACAACTGCATTCATAATCTTAATCTAATTGATTACTAGAAATACATGATGAAAGAAATACAAATATAGTAAAAGAAATGTAAATGTAATTATCTACGAAAACTAAATAATTATAATAAAACCCTGAATTTCCTGACAGGTAAAAGTATTTGGTCTAATGATTTCACTTTTTGCCAATACAATTACTCATTTTCTCACTGAATAGGCAAGTACACAAGCTATCAGACAGAGGTGATAAGCAACAGCTTATCTCATTTGCACACAGGACGCTAGAAACTGAAATTAGCTAATAACAAATATTAAGATTTTAGATGCATTTCCAGTTCGCTTCTTGTGAACGGTTCTGCACAAGTCATTCCACAGCACTTCTTCGAATTAGAGAGGACGGAAAATTATCAGACGTGTAATGGTTGCAGTTATTTTGGGGCAGTGGACAGAGACAGAAAAAAATTATAAAGAATTATTAATCGATGTGAAGAGCTAAAAGGAGCAAGACGGGTATGAATCTAGTCGTCATTGCTTACGGACACAGATTGCAGTAATGAATTAGCGCCTGTGTACTTTAAGCAGATGCATTGGGAGAGGGAGCCCTTCTGCTGAAGATTCTGTCCAAAGCTGGGGGTTCACTCCATCCAGACAGGCTCTGGGTGCCACCAAAAGAAACAGCCTCTCTCCAGCGGCTATCTGGACAACTTGCGCACTTGATTTGTTCTAACTGCTTTGTTAGGTGTGACTAGGTGGAATGAATCTGTCCAACTTATTTTAAAACTACATAATTATTAAGTAATTCTTCCCATTCAGCCCACATAAAGAAGCTGGTATGTTCCAGTTGCCTTAACAGGCCACAGACAAGGCAGCACAAAGTGTTTAAATTTGAAGAGCGTGCTGGTGAAACTAAGGGTTCCAACTTTGAGCCACAGCACACCATCAAATGTCACAGGAATTTTAAGGAGCCAACAATTCTCAGGAGCATTCTCAAGAGGGAGATCAAGATAAAGAGATTATTATTTACCTGCCAAGAAACGGCTCCCAAAACAGCAGTCGCGACAAGGCTGAAAAATACTAGCTGTTCCGAAATTAAACAGAAGTGACGCATGCCTTTAGATGCCATAACTCTGTCAAGGCTGTTGTTTTCCGCACGGTGGGTATAGTATACTTTGTGACAGTCATTTAGTTTTGTGTGAAATCCCCACAGAGTTATAAAAAAAATCACATGACAGATCATCCAGAAAATTCCAAAAATAGAAAAACCAGGTATCACAAAATACCAGAGATCCAAATCACGTAGTTTAAAGGCTGCAAGAATGAAAAAGATTAGTTCAATGACTCCAACTGAGATGACAGAAAGCCTTCTGCAAATTTTGCCACGGTACAAGTAGGGCTTCCATCGTTCAGTAACTGAAAGTCCACTGAAGTAAACGTCGAGGAGGGGATCTGAAATCAGGCAGCTGAAGAAACAGGCCAAGGCAAACGGGTTTGTGGGGATCTGCAGTGATGGAAAAAAGAGTAAGGATGCAATGGCTCCAAAAATTGCCAAATTTGGAATTGCCAAAAAAGACTTCATACGTAAGTCAATAATCAACATGGCCAAAGCCATGACCAACAGAATAATACTCATAGATCTTTCTACCAGCATAGTTGTGCTGGCAATTGCAAATCCAACTAGCTCCAAAAATTCAACTGTTGTCAGCAGAGTCGGTCGATGATGGATACAACCACAAATCCTCTCAACCAAAGCACATAATATCCTTAAAACAATGGCAGAGAGGAGCAGATATTTAGTGGCTTCTTCTTTCACGTCTGTTTTGAAGGCAGAATTATTAAGAAAACAGAGAAGGCCAAGCAAAAAACCAAACCACAGATTGGAGAGACTCAAACTTGCTGTTTCCATTGAAAAATAGTAGTACAGTATGCTGGCAATTCCAAGAACAAAGAGCCCCAGAATAAATATTACCAAAATCAGTGCATCCGCAGTTTTTTCCCACCTGACGTAAAGGCCCATGCAGATGGCAACCAGTAGGTTGATTCTGGCAAGATAGCCAAGGTATCTGACAGATGAGTGCATGTTCACTTCTCTGTTTGCTTCTTCTAGCCTCGTCATTGCTGCATAGAGACAATGACTAACACAGTAACGCAGTGACCTACACATGTAAACTGCAGTTAGGGGCTTTTACCCACTTGACTGAAAGTAAATATTTGGGTTTCATCCAACAAACACGATGCAATTTCCGCCTTCTGTAATATCATTTCAGTAACAGTGGTCCAGAATCACTGAAGTCCTGGAAGAAGAATTAAAAAGTTTTAATGGCAAATAATTCCTTTTAATCATATACAGCATAAACATGACACGCCCTTTCACACCAAGGAGTTGAACATCTAAATTAAAAAACACATAATAAAGACCAAGTAAGTGTGTTGCTAAAGGTCATTCAAATTGGGGTCATTATTAAAACCAATATAAAATGGGTTCCGCACAAATCTTATTTCATAATTTGAATGAGAGGAAAAGGTAAACCAAACCTGGCCTGTGCATTTTTCCCACAAAACCCTTCCATTAGGTATCTATATTAAATATCTACAGGTACCCAAAATATTGCTATGATATCCATTACCTTCTAAAATACTTTAATACCGTTTTACAACATTGTTTTACTTCACCGTTACATTTGTTAAGTTCTCACTTTATACTAAACCTTTTCTGTAAGCTTTGCAAGACTTCTTTTAAGTAGTCAAACAGCTACAGGATTTACAAAAAGAACTTTATGATCAGTTAATGAGCTTAACTCACAGTAGATAATGAAAAAGGATATTATCATCATCTCCATTTCGCAGAAGAGGAGTGGACACACAGATGTATCAACTGATCTGGCAACATTTTCAGAGACTTTGCTTAATGAAAAATCAAAGCCTTCATTTTCAACCCTCCAAGCCCCTTTTTTTCCCCACAAAAAAAAAAATAATATTATATTCAAAACATAAGCACCTCGTATTCGAATCCATTTAACCAACATGCTTTCTTTTTAATATAGTATAGGGACAGACAGTAGTATGTTCAGGGGAATTTTGTAAGAAAGCATGGCGAGGAAGATTTCAGTGGAGATCATTACTATTTTATGAGATAAGCTTCTGTCCTGGTTTCAGCTGGGACAGAGTTAATTTTCTTACTAGCAGCTGGTATAATGCAGTGTTTTGGATTTAGGATGAGAATAATGTGGATAACACACTAGCATTTTAGTTGTTGCTAAATAGTCAAGGGCTTTTCAGCTTCTTATAGTGGCCTGCCAACAAGAAGGCGGGGGGCACCCAAGAAGCTGGGAGGGAACACAGCTGGGACAGCTGACCCCAACTGACCAAAGGGATATTCTATACCATATGACGACATGCTCAGCATATAAAGTTGGGGGAAGAAAAAAGAAGGGGTGGACATTCAGAGTTATGGTGTTTGTGTTCCCAAGTAACCATTACACATGATGGAGCCCTGCTCTCCTGTAGATGGCTGAACACCTGCCTGCTGATGGGAGGTAGTGAATGAATTCCTTGTTTCACTTTGCTTGCGTAAACGGCTTTTGCTTTACCTATCAAACTGTCTTTATCTCAACCCACAAGTTTTCTCACTTTTACCCTTCTGATTCTCTCCCCCATCCCACCAGGGGGGAGTGAGTGAGCGGCTGCATGGGACATAGCTGCCGTCTGGGGTTAAACCAGGACAGCTTCTTCCTGGTCTGAACTCAAATCTTGAAACACGAGGACCACTGTAATTCTATTGGTGCTTAATCTTACGGAGTTTACACATAAACAATACTACTAATTGCTATAATTAGGAAAAAAAGTTATTGAGGAAAATCTACTTCCATGAAAATCTGTTTCACTGGATTTATATACTTTCCTACTTGTCACAAAGTTGTCAGAGGCATAGTTCAGAGCTCTCTAATGAAAGGCAAAAAAGCTTTGTACTTTGAAGTCACAACCCTGCTCCGGATGCAAAACATGTTTTAAGTGACAAACTGGTAAGAATTACTCAGAGAACAAGCTTTCTGTGAAACTACATGTAAAGAGAACCATGTGTACTTCTGATTTTGGATCCTTTTGTGCCTAGAAACTCTAAACCGGGAGTCACTGAACAAACAAAACAGAGCCTCCAGAGAAAATAAGGCAGAAAACAACAGGTGGATCACAAGAAAGTATAGAAACGAGAAAATCAGCATCAATATTGTTTTGTCTCTAATTGTCATAAGAAGTGTCACAAATTACGAAGAGCCCTGGAAATTGTCCAAATTCCCTTACTTAAAACTTACTGAAATCCTGTGTAGTATTTATATTTGCTTTTAAATTTATTAACAAAAAGTTTATCTAAGAGTATGATTATACAGGTTATGGGCAGAGTCCCCAACACATAAGACGACTCACACGTAGCCGCTATCATTTTTTAAGTAATTACCTAATCACCCATCTTACAGAGACTTCTGAAGAGTTACTGGTATAACAGGGCAACCAATGTGTCAAGAACACTCAGAGCTAGGTTACAGCTTACAGCTTTTATTTATAATGTTGCGGGAGGTATGAAAGGACACCTTGACTGAAACCCAAAACTTAGACTTTATTCTCTCTTGATTTTTAAAGTATTATTTTTTAAACCAGTGAACAATACAAGAAAAACTGAATTAATTGATTTGCCCATAAGCTTTGACGATCTGAAGACTGACACCCAATGTAAAACTAGCTTAACTACTTGATGGAGAGGCAAACTAGGCCTAAGAAATCCTATTGTTTAAATTACATAAGTTTGGTAACATATTTTCAAATTATGTTAAATACCTAACAACACTGCAGATATTACTTGGAAGAACTACACATCAAAAATCTGTTCAATTGAAATAGAATATATACCATATACTTAAAGCAAATGGTTATTATTTGATGCCATTGCAAGTTCAAGTTCTTTGGATTTCAACTGTGCATTTTCATCATACTCATTATTACTCATGTTTTATACATATCAACTTAATTCTGAGTTGCCTAGACGCTTAAGATCTTGTAATATTTCTCCCCTTACATGGTAATATACTTACTGTTCCTCTCAACCTTTCATTTGTTTCTACTTCATACAGATAACAGCCCAGAGTCAGCTATCGTATTGCAGGTCACAATATATCAGATATCATACCACTGTCCGCAGTCTCACTGTTTCTTGTACTATAATCAACATTCACTTTATGGATAACTTGAGCCACTTATTTCAAGTCCTACATGTGCCCCCGCCCCGTCTCCCAGTTATCTCTTGTTCACACCATGAATAGAATCATAGAATCATTTAGGTTGGAAGAGACCTTTTAAGATCATCGAGTACAGAGGGACGACTCCACACCTCCTTCCAACCTACAGCACTGACGCGTGACTACTGCTACGCTGAAGGACATCTGCCATCCCGTCCTGTTATCTTGATTCCTGAGCCCTTCTGGAACCCCTCCAAGTCAAAGGGCCAATACTGTACATATTCCCTTGGACAACAGCCTCACGGAAGCCAGCAGGCTGCCTCATATGCAAAGGGCGGATGCTCCCGCCTAACACCTGGCTGAAAATATTGCTACCGTCGCTAAATTATTTTCTGGTGGGATCGTTACACGAGAAAACTCCTTTGCAGGCAAGCAGCCGCTCTGACAGAAAACCACTCTGACTGGTTCAGCTCGTGCCGAGCGGTGTTCTGCTGCCATCGTATCGTGAGAAACATGAAAGAGAAGCTCCTCTGCTGCTGCCCCACCTGCTGATCCGGGTGCCAGGGGTGGAACGCTCCTGTTCCTAGCGGAGAGATGCAAAGTCTGCTCGAGAATGAAGTATTTGCGAAATGACAAAGCTCAGACCGTGAATGCAACCTCCTCTTCCTGATCTTCTAGACAATTAGCAAAAAGGTGCGCTACTAAACCATGCTGTTAATCATTAGTATTTTTCTAACTAAAGCACATAGTCAACTTCTTGGGGAGAACAGGAAAAGAAGCATTTTCAAGATTAACGTATCCCAACATGCAGCTATTACCAAATTAACTTAACAAAGTAATTCACACAATTTTAATGAGAAATTTCAGTATCTGATTTATTCTTTAAAACACAGCTATTTGTTACTCATTTCTGTTTAAGACTTTCACTGTTCAGACAAAGACTGTTCAAAGTCGGGGGGAGGATGCTGTATTTGTGTTTTTTAAACTAATGGCCTTAACGTTTGAGGTTGCAACATCCAAGTTGCATTTCTGAGCAAACCACATTTAGACCCAAACCAAACAGAACGCGTACACCCACTTTTAAATATTCATCAACTTTTGCAAACACAATTTTAAGCAAAACCCGGAGTCTTAGAGACTAAACTAACCGAGAGCTTTCCCACACATAAAGGAACAGCATTCCCAAATCAGCTTTTACCCTAATTTGTCTAAGAAAGTAGAAAAAAGAAGCAAAACCCAAAGATGGTTCGGGAGTTTAACTGCAGTCTATTTAACGTGAGGCCTATCTGAAGTACTAGACCCTCTTTTCCTTCAGTGTTATTCTTCCCCAAAAAGCAACTCTATCAGACTTTTTTTTTTTTTTTTGAACAACAAAAAAGTCGTGTTTAGCTAACGCATTAATACAGTAGGCTTCAACCTCAGGTGCACAGCTCTGTTAGTTTGCGGACGGGAATCCCGAGCCGCAGTTTCGGGTGTGCGGTGT